ACCAGAAAAACAACAAAAAAGCACAAACAGATTCATTTATTCATCCATGTTTATGGGGGAAGCGATTATAGAGACAATCTCCAGCTCTCCTCTGCTGTCGTGTAGGATTAAACTGTGATTATTATTTTATTTTTTACTTTTTTACATGTCTGTCATTTTAGAAATTGATCGTCTACAAAACTCCACAAAGAAAACGTATTAAAAATGAAACGTTGATTTCATTCACTGGGATCTGTTCAAAGAACAAACCTAGAAGATTAAAATTTAGAGCAGGTACTTTATTACCTGCCAGTTCCTCTACCTGACACTTTAATAACCAGAGAGGTGCAGTGTTTTTAAGGTGGTACCAGAAAGCATGTCCAATGTCCAATATTCATCCAGTGACACTAATGGAGCCCAAACTCGGCTCAGTTTGAATAAATCACTTTTAAGTCGGTAAACAAAACCACCAGGAGACAGCTTCCTGTCAGTGTGCTCCTCTCCGCCTCCTATCAGACCTCTGTCACCTTCACACCTGCTCGTTTGTTTCTGCAGCTGCCCTCCAGCTGACGTGCATTATACATCAGAGACGTGCCCTCTTGCCGCTTATCAAAACTTCCACTTCACGCCCTCCTCGCTCTGAGATCCAGAGCTGAGCAGCTGTGGAGTTGCCGTCCCGCTGCTGACACTGATCTCTGACTTCTCTGTGGAAGCCAGTCTTTAATTTGAGGCGGTCAGAGTGAAGCTGTGCTGCTTTTAGGAGTTGAGCAGATTCACCTTTTATCTAAACGATACATGACACGTATCATGTAAGAAAACAGGAAATCTGAGCGTGTCCAAAACCTGTCTGTTGAAAGAATCTTTCAAAGCACCAATCAACAAGAGCACATATTTCCATTTTACCCAGTAGAGCTGGCGGATCAGTGACTGGCCAGATAAATGAGACCATTAATGAGTGGTTATTTACAAAGGTTTGCATCCCTTGGCACAAAAATTGCAATCATCATCATCATCACCACCACCACTGATTCCGAGTCATTAAAACCCAGTGTGGTGTATCAGACAGCCTGATGTGCCAGAGCTGCACATTCATGAAACTCTGACAACTTTGTTTTAGTATTAATGTGACCAACACGTCTTTAATGACCCTGCATGAGCTTTAAAGGAATAATGGTGCCATTACTGATACCAGATTAAGTTCATATATTACAGTGTGGTATCATTACAGACCTTGAGTTCAGCTGGTTTGGATCGCGTTGGGTCAGTGTGTGTGTGTGCAGTCCCTCCATGATGTTTGGGACAAAGACACGTTTGTCTTTGAGGGAGCCCTCTGCTCACAGTGTGGAGGTTTCACTCAAACACACTGAGCAGACACAATTAAAACACACAGTCCTCACTTTAAAGTCAGTCACTCTCATACACAGTCCCCATCATTCAGGCGATCCCAGTGTTTGGGATTCCTCAGGTGGGCTTTATTCATGCGCGGACTGTCATTGGCTCCCTGAATTTAAATCTGCAGCAGGACAAGAGAAACAAGAGCGTTTCTCCAAGCCAAAACAAGGGGGCTGAAACCAGTTGACTTAAATCCAACTGAGCATGAAACTTCAGTTTAATTCAATTTATTTCATTTATTTAGCATCAATTCACAGCAACAGTAACCTCAAGATGCTTTATATTTAAAGGTAAAGAACCCACAGTGATTCTGGTCACGGCAGATGGCCCCGCCCCTCCCTGAGCCTGGTTCTGCTGGAGGTTTCTTGGCCCCGCCCCTCCCTGAGCCTGGTTCTGCTGGAGGTTTCTTCCTGTTAAAAGGGAGTTTTTCCTTCCCACTGTCGCCAAAGTGCTTGCTCATAGGGGGTCATATGATTGTTGGGTTTTCTCTGTATGTATTATTGTAGGTCTACCTTTACAATATAAAGCACCTTGAGGCGACTGTTGTTGTGATTTGGTGCTGTATAAATAAAGTTGAATTGAATTAATCAGGTAGCCCCCTATGAGCAGCTTTAACAGAAAACAGACTCTGAATATACAAGCATGTCTGTGCCCAGTTTCTGGTCCTGTTAGTAAAACAGTCGTGTTGACACAGATCCACTCACTGTGAATTTACACAGCTCTACGCACACAAACACACACACACCAACACACACACACACACAAACACAACACACACACACACACACACACACACACACACACACACACAGTTGTGTTTTCATATCTTTCATATTAATTGACATACTGTTTTCCCTAGCCGCTTACCATCAAAACTGAATGCCTTATCCTAACCCTGAGCCTAAACCTAACCATAACCTAACTGTAACCCTGACACTAAGCCACATTCTGAGCCTCAAAGATGCCTTCAAACTTGGGCATTTGGTCCCCATAAGTATAGTAAACGTCCAATTTTTGGACACACACACAGAGGATCATTCCTCAGCACCGTGCTGGGCGGAGTCTCGAGACATATAAGAGGTGCTCCCATCGACATGATTAGCATCGATTTCCTGTTGAAACCAGCTCGCCTGACACTTCATGAAGCTGGAGTGTATAGACTTCATCTGTCCCTGTGACTGAGGGATCCTGAGAACAAGCCCCTCCCTCCCTCCCAGGCACAGTTTCTATAACAGTGTGAAAAGTTGACCTTCAGACGCTCGGCTGTGGGTCTGCCACACTCGGGGTCCTTCATACTCGGCCTGACCTCAAGTCTATGCAGCTCTGCATGCTGCCGGGGGAACATCCTGCTTTCACTCACACTGAAGATCAAGAAGACAGTTTACAGGAAGGTTTTTTTTAAATATAAAGATGCTTAAAATGTTCCTTGAACATTTGATTAAAACATTTTATCACAAACATTATAACGATCATTAGAACTTTCTAAACAGTTTCTCCTTTTTAAGGCCTGAACATGATTCACTGAGATACAGAATTCAGTTAAGCTGTGTCATCAAAGCAGAGCCGCATCCTCAGGAGTGTAGACAGTTGTTGGAGGCTTGGATGGTTCTCTAGGGACCTGGAGGAGGTGGAGATGGGGAGGAGGTGGGCTGCATGAATAAGAATGACATCAGAGGAGTGAGATTAAAGTGAAAAGGGCAGTTGGTTTGGAGCAAAGAACAGAGCACCAGGCAGATGAGTGATCACATAGCTTCATTACTGAACACATGAGCTTCCGTCTGAGGTCCAGTTTGCCATCACTGTGGGAATGTTTCCTACTGGCTGGGGTGTCAGATACAGAGAGGAAGAACCAAAAGAAACCAAACTCAGTGTCTGACCCACGGGAACGGCTGCAATAAACTTCAGAACCAGGTCAAACTGAAAGTGCAATTCCCACCTGAGTGCAGGCTGCAGGCTGACTAACAGATGAGCAACAAGCCCAACGGCCCTGTGGCTTTAAAGATTTGCATGCAGGTGATTTCTGTCAGGTAAATATCCACTCCTGGAGTCTAGTCTGGAAAGAAACAATGAACTTGTCAAAGTGCGGGCTCTGCAGCTGTTTAACTTACCAGTCATGTTATTTCTGTGACCACCTGTTGAAAAAGCTCCAGTTTGTTTGAAAATGGGGAACATAGTGTACACCTAACTTAGAAGCTTTCTCTGGAGCTTTCTGGATCTATCCTCAGATCCTGATGGGGAAAAAAACAAAAAACCCCAAATCTGAAACGTGTAGGGATTAAAAACAAAGCTCAGGTGGAGCTCCTGTGGTCGTGCTGCAGACATTTAAATTGCTTCTAGGCGTGGATTCCTATACAAATCTGTAACTTTACACTGATGATATGTGTGCACTTGTGCAGTCCAGACCATATTGGCTGCCTCCTCTTTTATATTAAATACATTATATCCACCTTTTATATTATATCCAACTTGGTCCTTCTCCAAACACCAGTGAAAAAGTACAGCAGGAGATAAGGTCTAAACGATGACGTCAGCTTTCCTCTTGCTAAGTAAATGCTGTGTTTTACAGTAAGAGCCATGCAGACAGGTTAATGGGAATAAAATAATTAAAGGACCTGCCATTTAAATCTGCTCTTTTCCTTCAAAGGAGCAGATTTCTTCCATACTGACTTCTCTTCATCGGCTCCCTGAATTTAAATCATGCTTCTCACATACAAGGTCTTAAATAATCAGGCCCCATCAGACCTTACAGTACCATATCACCCCATTAGAGCACTTACCTCTCACAGGTTACTTGTTGTTCCTAGAGCACTTAAAAGTAGAATGGGAGGCAGAGCCTTCAGTTTTCAGGCCCCTCTTCTGTGGAACCAGCTTCCAGTTTGGATTCGGGAGACAGACACTATCACTACTTTTAAGATTAGGCTTAAAACTTTCCTTTTTGCTAAAGCATATAGTTAGGGCTGGACCAGGTGACCCCGAATCCTCCCTTAGACTCTCTTTTCTCTCTCCTCTGTGCTCTCAGGTGGCCGCAGCCCCTCCCTGAGCCCGTTGGAGGTCTCTGCTTTTTTCCAGGTGCTAACATCATTACCTGGAGTACATCATGTACCTGACATAGCCACATGCCATATTCCTGGATTCAACAGGATCAGAGGTTTTGATGGAAAGGTGCGACTGCTTTTTCAGACATATACAGGGACCCCGGCCCACCGTCCCATAATGAACCTTAGTGCGAGGTGTTCCTCTGGTGGCCACTGATGCTATGTGTGTTCTGACACCGGCCGTCTGAGCTACAGCAGCTCGTCTGTTGGGTCGGAGCACACGACCCAGCCTTTGCTGCTCCACCCACGACCCCGTCACCGGTTTACCGCCAATACTGACCCCTGCAGAAGAGGAACACTTCACAAGAACTGCAGTTTTGTAGGAAATCCTCACACTCACGCATTTTTCCGACTTCTAACGTCAAGTTTTAGGACACATGGTTGACCTGCTCCCTTGTCTGCAGCTTAACGTGAAGCACTCTAATTGCAGGAATTTTGCGTGAGCAGTAGGTGGGACAAAGAAATTCTGAAAGCACGATAAACACAACAAAGAAGTCTGACCTTTATTAAAATAAAAACAACCTGCAGCCGGGATTTCTTTGCAATTTTTAATACTTTTTCTCGAACGATTACACAGATCCTTGAGTCGAGTAACAGAAAGCAGAAGATCCAACTCCAACAACCTCGACAATGTTCAAAAACAGGTAAAGAGATTTTTGTTCAGAAAACCTTTAATCATTAATAGAATTAGTAGTATGACATATTTCAGTAAATATTTAGATATATACAGATACAGCAGAAACGGTACATTCTTTTTTTTTCTCTTCAAATTGCTTCACATTTTTTTATACAAGCCAAAATATCTGCCATTTTATTTATATTCATGCAAAATATTGATTCTCAGATTAATGAAAAATAAAAAGGATTTGCTGAACTTTTTTTTTTCATTCTGCTCTGATGTGCACGTTCAGATTATAAGCGTCATAATGAGCATAATCGTAAGTTCGGCAAACGAAACAGGTGCACTTTGTGCCAATACACGAGAGAAGCAACCAAAGCAAAATTAAGGCCATTCCAACTTGTGCAAAGAAAGTAAATAAATAAATAAGAAGAAGAAGAATCGTCATAATAATGTTTCCTTTAGTTCACAGCAGTTCGAGAGTCTCTGTTTTTTTCTCCTTCTGCCTCGGGGTCATCGGGTTGTATATTACATACAATAAAATACAAGAGAATCAAACAAACCCTGCAAAAGCCCGTGAATCATTAATCATCGGCAAATCAAACCATGCTACTTTAAAATCCATAAACGTCTAAAAATGCATCCCTCTCTCTCATCCTTCTGTCAGTTTGCATCACATCGCGATGCAAAACCAACCCACAGTATCCCCCCCTCTGCCCCCCAAACCCACAGAGAACAATGATTAATACGACGGCATGAGGCCTGACAAAAAGCTCTACAACAACTATGACACGCACGAGACCCACGCCTGAGGGGAGGGCCGTAAATGCTGGGAAATGATGGTTGAATGGATGCACGATATGCTTCTAGGTCCTCTTTTTTTGTTGCATATTCAACCCCCATATGGCACGAGAAGATGTACATGTGTATGTAAAACAGGCGACTGATGTCCTTGTGTTTTTGGCACAGAAGATAAAAGGAGCCGTCCTAATCAGATTGAGCCGGCTGAGGTTTCCCACCTGGGTGCAGGCCGTGACCACAGAGGAGGCTTCACTGCAAACAGAGGCCATCAGAGGCGGTTTGCATCATACGTGTCGCTCAGAGGAGCTGCCAAGTCTGCAAAATACGATTTTCCTGGCGAGCGTGCACGGATCCATAAGTTCATTTGCTGGGAAGAGCTGCACCTCAAGCTCTATTATAAAAGATATTTTAAAGTTTGTTGTGTGCCTCACCACGACTGAGCCAGGTGGACTAAAAGTCGAACACTTCCATTTAAGACAGCGTTGATTTGTCCCTGTACACAAATATAAAATATTCCTTTCAGCAGCACTAAACGGTTTACTTTTTAAGTACTGCACCTGCTTGACTGACCTGTGTAACTGAAAGAGTTTATTACCTGGAATTAGCTTTAAGGTGATTTCTGGAGAACTTTGGTCAAACCAAGAACGCTGTGTGAGAAGCATCACAGCAGCCTTTGAAAGGCCCAGTGAGCTTGTTTTGCTTCGTTGCTCCCACATACATGAATAGCAGAGAAGTACAAGTGTGACTTTGGACCTGGGTGAGGTCTTCATTTAACATGCATATTTGTGGGTTTTCAGAAAAAACACCACCTTTTTACTTTCCCTGCTTGAACCGTCTGATCTGCTCTGAATCTGAATCCGTGCCCACATCTCTGAAGGTGTAACGATAAGGAGGGTGAGAGGGTGAAGGCGGGGATTCGACCGGAGCTCACGGAAACACAGCCGCGCATGTGGAAATAAAACGGCCTCTGTAAGTAACCGAAGCACCTCTGAGGTTCCAGCTTTGAGCAGTTTTCCTTTTCTGGGAATGATTCGGTGAATGAGATGCATAGTTTGGACTGAAGCAGATTTTATGGCACTTCCATTTTAAAGTCAGAACAGGCTGGGATCATGTGAGCAGAGGGAGAGGTGGAGCATAGCCCTTCGGATTGCTCGCAGTGTACTTTGAGACAAAGTGAATGATGTAAATTAAAATCTACATCAGCTGTTCTGTAAAAGACACAAAACCCAAATTAGTTTTAAGGAATCCCTTTGCTGCGGATTCATGGATTAAACAGCAGGAGGAGAGAAATGAAGAAATCATCCAAATGAAAATATTGTTTTGTATTTCTGTCTCTGAGGATAAAAGGAATATGAAATTATAGCCTCTTAAATCATATTTTTTCTCACAATGCAGAGTTGGACAGCGAAATGTTTGTTTCAGTTAACAGTGGAGATGCACTTTGTGCCAATCTCCCCGTGTCTGATATTTAGACCAAAACAAATAATCCATGTTTTATTGTCAGAGCGAGGAAGGTCTAGCTGGCTGGTTGACTTTCAGCTGGTGGCTCACTGATCAGAGGTTATCGGAGGAATAATCGGAAATATTCATCCGCTCTCTCTAAGACTCTTACAGTATGTCTGTGGACTGGGACAGAACGAGGAAACACAAACTATAATATATAATAGCTACATCAGGCTAATTTAACCAGCGCACAAGCTGGAATTTAATAAAATGTTTCTGACTGGGCAGTACGGCTGAGCCAGGCCTCCCGGTGTCTCACAAAGAATCGTCGACGTGCTCCTTTGAGGTTTGGCTGCAAAGGCAGGTTTTTGTGTAAGAAGCAGAAAAAGATAGTGTGAGACTGATTAAATGTTTGCAAAAAAAAAGAACATTGCACATCACAGCCTGTCAGAGTTCTCACTGCACACACATCATCACTCTCCTCCTTCCACCTCCTTCCTTCAGATTTCTAGTTTAAAACATACACACATATATATTTATATATATTTTTCTCCATCTACTGATCCGTGTGCATTGGGCAGAAGTGCCTGGGCAGTTTGCAACACCTTTGTCTCCATTCTGACCAATAAGCATGAAAGACCTTTTCTCACTGTCTGCAGCGGGATGTGGATGAGGGTGCTAAGACGTGGGAAAAATCATATTTGCATATACTGATCATTGCATAGAGAAGCCTGGTGCAAAGTACAAGAAAAAAAAGAAACAAATAAAATCATTAGTCACACTTATGAAGCCTCAAATGACGAATCCCCTCATCACAGCCTCTGCATGTGGATGGCGGCGTAGCTTTATGAGGTTTGCAGCTACAGTCGGTGCATACGAACGAGGCGGGAATACAGTTAATTAAGGTAACATATGTCCTCTCGGCTGGGGAGCGGGATGGGCGGCGTCACGTTAAGGCGGGGTCAAAGCAAGGAAGCACTACTGGAGATGTAAACGTATCTGTGTGTTGCTACGTCCTCGCTCGAGTAGTTCTCTGTCCGCTTTCACCAAAACAAAGCGAAATCTCAAAAACCCAGGAGCCTGCGAGGCGACATCAGCTGCTGACATCAGAGCGCACCTCCTTCCTGCGTGTCAGAGCGCCGCAGGAGCCACGTGTTGAGTCGGCACAGAAATTCATTAAGAAACAACCGAAAAAACAGAAATGAAGGACAGGCAGAGGAACACGCTGAGCACGGATAAATGAGATAGTTTGTCCCATGTCGTCCAGTCGTGTGATTGACAGGTCGGTTCAGTTTCACGGTGCTTGATGGCAGCGGGAGCAAGGGGGAGCTTTGAGGAGTGCTTGCAGTACACATTTGAAGCAAATCTCGATATACAGAAAGCGCGACCTTTGCATCGCTTTGTTCAATGGAAGCACCGATCGGCCCGCCTTCTTTTCTTTTCTTTTTTTTGGGTGAAAAATCCTTTAAATCCAGACGCCCACCTGTGGAAACAAACATCCTATTTTTTCCCAGTTATGATAACATATATGAGTATATTACACTGCTCTCGCACGACCCACCCGTCACATAGCATTATATCTGTCGTCACACAAAAAGCTAAAATCAAACACAACATTTCTTTTACAAGCCTCGCTTGTTCAGTCCGACTGCTCCCACACAGTTTTTGCTGGGATGCCTGCAAAAGTTGAACTTTTCGTTTCTTGAATATATTGCCACATTCATATATCATGCATTTTACTGCATTGCTATTGCACCGGTCCGGATTATTCAGGAGCTGGAAGGAGACGGGAACGGGGCAGGTTTCAGGGTAGGAGAGGAGATTAAAGGAAAAATAAAGCAATAATAAATATTTGAAATCGTGTCTGTAGGCGTCAGGTGGTGCCATGGTGAGCGACCGCCACAAAGAAAGTGACTTTCCTCGACCAAATGAAGGCGAAGGAAGAGGAAGAGGAGAGAACGCTCGGTGGAAAAAGGGGCAACAGATCTTGTACCGAAGTCAGCGCTCTGTTTCCTTTTCTCTGTCTTCTCCTCTTCGCACCGTTCTCCTCCTCGTCCTCCTCCTCAGCTCTCCACTACTGCTTGTGGATGTCCTCGCTGCGGATGATCTTGTAAATGATCCAGTAGAAAATGTTAAAAATGAGGAAGACGAGCGGGAAGGCCACGCGGGACACCGTGTCGATGCGCTTGGCCCGACTGATGAACAGCTTCTTCATCTCCTCAATGCTCTTTTCGGGTGCGGCCGAGGTCGGGGCATTGTTGTTGTTGCCTTTGATGGCCATGCCGTCCTTAGCCTGCAGGCAAGCAGGGCCCATGCCGTAACCGGGGAAACTGAAGCGGCCCTCGCCCGTCTCATCCTCCTGCAACACAGGCCAAGACTCAGGCTGTTAGGAACCAGAGAAAGACGTTACTGTTGAGAGGTGTGTGTGTGAGTGAATTTCAGAGATGTGCAGACATGCAAAACAAATAACTGATGACGTGGAGTGAAAATGAAAAGCGAGGAAGTGAAGTACTTTATCACATGACCGTGTGTCTGAATAAACCAGAAATTTAAGGTGGAATTAGCGTCTCATTCTCAGCTGGCTGTCTTAATTAAAATAAAGAGGAAAAGAAGAATAT